AAACTCTGCAGCCCAGCAGCATCCCGATAAATTTCCTCTGCACCCTCTCCAGTGCTATCACATACCTCCGATAACCGACAACCTATCCTGGACTTCCCATGTAGATGTGACAGTCAAGAAGGCACAACAGCACTTCTTCTTCCTCGGGCAGCTCAGGAAATTTGGCATATCCATAAGGTCCCTCACCAACTCCTACAGATGCACCACTGAAAGCATACTGTCCAGCTGCATAATGGCCTGGTATGGCAACTGCTCTGCCTAGGACCATAGAAACCACAGAAGGTGGTGTGCACAATCCAGACCATCAAGGAAGCCAATCTTCCATCCATGGACTCTATTTACATGGCTCCCTGCTGTGGAAAGGCTGCCAACATCAAAGACCCATTGCACCCTGGTAATGACCTCCTGCAACCTCATCCGTCAGGCAGAAGATACAGAAGCCTGAATGTCAGACCAGCAGGCTCAGGAACAGCTTCTTCTCAGCCATTATTAGACTGATGAATGGACTCTCTAACCTCAAATAATGCTGATCTTGCTAATGTTGATCTCACTAACGATGATCTCACCTAGCGCACGCCCTGGGCAATGTAGCCTGTGTGCCTCTGTCTAAGTCTTTTTGATCTGTACATCCTTGCTTCCTATGATCTGCCTGTACTGCTCATAAACAAAGCTTTTCACTGTACTTTGGTGCAAGTGACAATAAATCAATTGATCGATCAATCAATCAATACAACATGGATTCCAGAAGTGGACACAATACTCTAGCTGCCGCCTAACCAATGTTTTATACAGTTCCAATAATCTACCTGCTCTTGAACTCTGTGCCTTGGTTAATAAAGGCAAATATCTTACCTGCCTTCTTAACCACTTTATCCACCTGTCCTAATAACTTAAGGGACCAGTGGACACGCATGTCGAGGTCCTTCTGGTATTTAGTGCTTCCCAGGCACCTACCATTCATCATGTATTCCTTTGTTTTATTTGTCCTGCCCAAGTGTATCACCTCACACTTACCCAGATTAAATTTAATTGGCCACTGATCAGGCCATCTATATCCTCCTGTAATCTAAGACTATCCTCCTCATTATTTACCATCTCACCAATTCTCATTTCATCCCAAACTTACTTATCAACCTTTCTACATTCATACAGTGCAGACTGGGCCCTTCGGCCAACTGAGTCTGCACAGACATAACTACCACTAAAAGGGGGTTGATCCCAATTTCCTGCACTTGTCCCATATCATTGAACGTTATGATATTTCAGGTGCTCATTCAAATATATTTTTAAAAAGGTTGTAAGGTTTTCAGGCCTCCACGACCTTCCCAGGGAGATATTCCAGCCACCCACCAATGGCTGAGTGAAAAAGTCTTTTCCCAAAGCCCCTCTGAATCTCCTGCCCCTTACCCTACAACTACGCCCTCACATGACTGACCCCTCAACCAAGAGGAACAGCTGCCTTCTATGCACCCTGTCCATACTCCTCATAACCTTATACACCTCAATCATGTCCCCCTCAGTCTTCTCTGCTCTGAAGAAAACAATTCAAGCCTAGTTAGTCTCTCCTTATTTCTCCATCCCAGGCAGCTTCTGGTGAACCTCCTCTGTATCCCTTCAAATGCTATCACATCCTTCCCATAATGAGGCAACCAGAACTGCACACAGTATTCCAGTTGTGGCCTGACAACTCCAACATTACGTCCGTGGTCTTATGCCACGATTGATGGTAGCAAGTGTCCCATATCCTTCTTAACTATCTTATTCACATGCCTTTTACTACTACCCTTTGTTTCCTATTATTAAGCTACTTTCTGATCCATCTTGCCAACTTTCACTCAATTCCATGAGCTTTAATCTTCTCAATTAGTCTTCCATGTTGGGCCTTGTCAAAAGCTTTGCCAAAATCCATATAAACTACATCAACTGAACTTCCCTCATCCACACACAATCATATATTTAAAAAATTACAACAAATTCTTTAGGCATGACCTCCCTCTGACAAAGCCATGCTGACTATCCCGAATTAACCTGTGCCTTTTCAAGTGGGTAACAATTCGCTCCTTCAAAATTTTCTCCAATACTTTCCCTCCCACTGACATAAAATTTGCGTCAAGAGTCCCTGCAGTTTTCTGCTTCCCACAGCAGCTTGGGATGCATTTCATCCAGGCCAGGGAACATTTCTGTTTTTAAACCCGATGGAGACTCAAATATCTCCCCCTTTCCTATGTCAAATCGTGCAAGTTCCTCACAGTACCTTTACCTGAATTCTATAGCTACCTTCTCTTTTTTCCAGAGTGAAGACCGAAGAGAAGTATTCATTCAACACCCTTCCAATATCCTGCAGCTTCACATATAGGTTTTCCCCTTGGTCCCTAATGGGCCCTACTCTTTCCCTTTCCCTGATTAACCTCTTCCCTTTAATTCATGGCTAAACCATTTACATAAAGTTCCAACACTGATCCCTGTCGGAATCCACTGGACATAGGCTTCCAGTCAGAAAAATACCCCTCAACCATCACCCTCTGCTTCCTGCCACTCGGCCAATTGTAGATCCAATTTGCCAAATTTCCTTGTATCCCATGGGCTCTTACCTTTTCTATCAGTCTCCTTTGTAGGACCTTCGCAAAAGTCTTGCTCAAGTCCAAATAGATATCAAAAGCATTGCCCTCATCTGCACCCCTGGTCAGCTCTTCGAAAAATTCAATCAAGTTGGTCAGACATGAAATCCTCTTAACCAAATCTTGCTGACTGTTCTTGATTTCTCCTGACTCTCCGTGTGCAGATTAATTTTCTCCACCATTGAGGTTAGACTGACTGGCCTATAATTTCTTGGTTTATCTATTGCTTCTGTCTTGAATAACAGTACCACATTTTCTGTCCTCCAGTCTTCTGGTACCTCTCCTGTGGCCAGAGAGGAATTGAAAGTTTTTGCATGTGTTCCTGCTATTTCCTCCCTTGCCTTACCATTGCTATGGATGCCCTATATCTGGACCTGAAGATTTATCTACTTTTATGCCTGCCAGACCACTCAGAATCTCCCCTATGTCTATGCTAATTTCTTTAATTGCATCACAAGCCTTCTCTCTGATTTCTATACCTAAACTGTCCCTCTCACCAGTGAATACCAACACAAAGTATTTGCTCATAATCAGCTGTTCACACCATAAATCATATTACAATCACTATTTTTAGCAAACTTCAGGATTTCCAGATATTTAGCCTTGGTGGAATTCATACAAGAAATTGACATTAAATCAGATCTGGTTCACTCTACATAAATGATCAGGAAGTTAGAATGGAATTAGGCAAAATATCCAGTTAATTAAATAATTTGTTTTTTTTTGTTTTTCAGTGAAAAGCCTGCAACATGAACATTGTTTCTCTCTCTCTCTCCACAGATACTGCCTACCTGCAGTGTAGTCACAGCATTTTCCATTTTATTTGCCAAATTCCCAGCATCCACAGTATTTTGCTTTTGTGTCTTTCTATTTAGTGCTGCCTCTTGCTTACTAATTTATAGTTTATTTACATGGGATAAAATTGATATGAATAGCTTGGATGAAGAGACTAAACATATGTTTTCTAAAGTTTAATGATAACACAACTATAGGTAGGAAGCTGAGATGTGAAGAGGGCATTAGTAGGGCTACAAAGGGATAAAAGGTAGGTTAGGTGAGTGGGCAATGATCTAGTTAATGAAATATCAAGTGGAAACATGTGAAATTGTCCATTTTGAAGAAGTGTAATAATGAAATGGAGCGAGATTATAGAGCTCCATGAAGCAGAGAGATCTGGGTGTCCTAGTGCCTGAATCACAAAAGTTTGGTGTGCAGGTGCAGCAAGTAATTAGAAAACCTAACACAATGTTGTTACTTACTGTGAGAGGAATTGAACAGAAAAGTAGGGAAGTTAGACTTGAGTTATACAGGGCAATAGGGAAACCACATCTGGACCACACTGTACATTTTTTTTTTAATTCAAGGAAAGATGTAAATGCATTGGAAGCAGTTCAGAAGTTTAGGAGACTAATGCAAGATATGGTCAGGTTAACTAATGAGGAAAGAATTGACATGCTAGGCTTTTATCGGTTATCATTTGATAATGAGCAGTAAATCTAAATCCCTTACCCCTTAAAAGGAATTTTCTTTTCTATTCATTTGTGGGATGTGGGCATCACTGGCTGGCCAGCACTTCTTGCCCATCCCTAGAGAAGGTGGTGGTGAGCTGCCTTCTTGAACCACTGCAGTCCTCCAGCTGTGGGTTGACCCACAATGCTATTAGGGAGGAAATTCCAGGATTTTGACCCAGCGACACTAAAGGAATGGCGATAGATTTCCAAGTCAGGTGGTGAGTGGCTTGGAGGGGAACTTGGATATGGTGGTGTTCCCATGTATCTTCTGCCCTTGTCCTTCTAGAAGGAAGTGGTCGTGGGGTTTGGAAGGTGCTGTCTGAGGATCTTTAGTGAATTTCTGCAGTGCATCTTGTAGATAGTACACAGCTTGCGTGTCGGTGGTGGAGGGAGTGGATGCTTGTGGATGTAAATCTGAGGGTCATTAGCTTATTGCAGAAAACAGTGATACTGAGCTTTAAAGAATAATTACTGTTGGCCCAACATTCTTCCATCTATGTATTATTACAGTGAAGTACAGCATCTCAACTGGCAACCATTACTCTGACATTCATTGCAAGAAACAGCAAATACAGCAAACAATAGCATAAATTATCCCAAACTCTGGACTATGTGTATGCGAGATGCTGGATGCTTAGGAGCCATCTCCAAACCCTTCTATGTTCGAATAAGTGGAAATCACAAGAGGAAGAAGAGTTTTCATGTGTCCCGAGTCCTGAAATGAGGACTGCCTTGTGATTGTTTCTAGCACATAATTTGTTGCATTCTATTTATTTTCTTTTCAAATGATTGAAGTGCATAAGATGCCAAAGGTAGTTTCAAATATGCACGAGGTTGTTTTATGTAGCCAAAAACTGTTTGAGGGTAATACCTGAATAGTTTTGCACTGCTCTGCCAGCAGTTTTCTCTCTGTATCCAGTGATGCCACCTGCTGTTGATAACAAAGCCTCTGTTTCTCCCATTCCAATGATTTCTCTCGAAACTCCTAGAATCAAAAATGCTTTCAGCAAGATTCAGTAAATGAGAAAAAGAGTCACACCCAAATGAAAAGAACCTACAGAGACAATCCAACAAACACGAGCCTTGAAAATATTCATTCTTCAACATTTTTGAAGTATAAACAAATTGGTAATAAAACCTGAAACATTCAACTTCTGAATTGTTGGTGGTGCCAAGTTTAGAATGTGATGTTAATCCAGGGCTCCTACTCCAAGGAGAATGTAACACATCTATTCCATTATTTGATTAGGAGCTCATCAATATTCATCTTCACACAATATCAAAAATACGCTGTTTCTGAGATCTTCCTGCATGCAAGTCGCCTATCATATTTCCTACATTTTAACAGTGACCATGCTTCAAAAGGCTTCACTGACTATAAAGTATTATTTGAAAACACAAGCTTTCGGAGTCTCAGTCCTTCTTCTGGTGTTAGTGAGAGAAGCAGTATCAAACACAGGATTTATAAGTAAAAGATCAATGGTTCACACCACTAATGAGAATGTAGTAAACAAACCTAAGATGCTGTTAAATCTTTAATCAGTTAGAAGGTTTCAATTGATTAATATGTATATGTAAATCCCCAAATTCCTTTCAAGTCACAGTCCTGAGAGAACTAAATGTTTTATCGGTACCCATGAGGATGGCCTCAAACAGGAGTTTGGGTTTATGTCGCACTACAGGTGACCCCACCACACTACAAGCTGCCCCTTCCCCCCCACCACCTCACTGTCATGCACACGACCCCTCCCCCCTTCACTGTCATCCACACTTCCCCTACCCCACTGACTGTCACGCACATTCCCCCTCCTCCCCTCACTGTCACGCACACACCCCTCACTGTCACGCACACTCCTCCTCCCCCCCTCACTGTCATCCACATTCCCCCTCCTCCCCTCACTGTCACGCGCACTC